GTTGCCTTTACCTGCTAGTAGTCTGGGTGAGGTTACTTGTTTATGTTTGCTTTTGGGTGTTGTTTAGTTTGCTGTTGAATAAACTGTATCTATAACATTCTGCCCTGTCCGGTGTGGTCATAAGTGTTTGGTCTGCCTGTGTGGGTACCTGCGCAGGTGTGGGGTCACCTGTGCCGGTAGCCTTGACAGGCATTCTGGTTAACATTCAAACTTTGGTGCAGTTCGACAAGTTTCCCATACATTATATTTAAGGAGTGCTGACTATTTCTGCTTTAGATTTGTGCTGTGCCACCATTGGCTGCACACCCTACTACACTGATTTTGGCCGATAGCGCGGGAGAAAATGTTGACTGTAGTGCTGGAGAAGGTGTTGACTGTTAATTACTTTGGCTACTTTGGTTTCAATTCTGCAAGGAACAACAGGCATTTTCCATGTTTGTAGGCTCTAAAATGTGGGTAAAAAGTATCTGTATTTTTGTTTCCTGCATATACTTTAAAGTAGAACAATGGTATCCCTTTAACCCCTTCATGACTGAGGCCTTTTTTTCATTTTTTGCACCCATGTTATATTCCACATTTTAGGCCTGAAAATGACTTAAAACCCCCACACATTATATATTTTCTGAATGCCAAGACCCTATACAATATAATGGTGGTAGTTGCAAATTTTTATGTTGCGCAATATTAGCGCAAGTCCTTATTAAACCCCAAATGGGTCCCGTCATCAGGCTCAGAATAACACACTGTGCAACCCAAACCTACATATATATACATCTGTGACCTTTAAAACACAGCCAATCCCGCCCCGAATTGCATAACAAGTACATGTTTCCCACCCTGTCAGTTTTGAATTAGGTAAACAACTGGTCAGTTAACATACCGGCATCATGTGGAGAACCGGCGTATTCTGCACCGCTGTCACTGCTCTCGGCTTCGCACTCGGTTGCCATAGTTACCCGACGCTGAGCGGGGCGATTTGGCACACCCCCTGTGACTTCAGCGCAAGCGCCGCGTGGAGCGCATGAGAGTCCTTGTTTGCGGCTCAAGCTGTGTGGTAGTACCGCCCCTCTGCTCACTCGCGCAAGCGCATAATGAACTGGAGGGCCGAGGCTATGCATGAATACAGGTTCCAGCGCAGTGCAGAAATCTAACGCCATTGGTCCACCTAGTCATGTGGAATGTTAAACACGATCCATGGAAATTACACAGTATCAGTCAATATATAACAGAAGTGCAGAATCATACAGCTGTTGACAAATGTGGCCACGTATAGTTGCAATAATGAATTGTTGCAATCGTAATTTAGATATGCGAAATATCAATAAGGTGTAGCCATTGCTTGTCCTTAGTGAAAAAGTTTTGGATTTATTAACCACTTCAAGACCAGGTGTTTAGACCCCCTTCCTGGCCAGGCCATTACGCTGCCCGTTTTTAAATTGCAGCCATTTGACGCTCGCGCGCGCCCGACGGCGCACGCAAGGGGGCGTGTCTGAGCGGACGTCTAAAGACGCCTGCTCAGATCTAGAGAGCTCCTGGCCGGCCGTTTTTTTACTACGGCCAGCCCGGAGCTCTCTAAAATAAAAAAGAAATCAAAATAAAATATAAAAATGAATTCAATAATTCAGTGATTGGCATTCGTCTGTCTGACATCTCTGAATGTGTCCTATGTGGTGGAGAGACTGCATTGGTGCAATTGGGGAGGACTGTACACCAGGAAAGAAGCGGAGGGTGAAGTTCAATAGTGATGTATCTTAACAGGGGGAGGGAGGGAAGGAAGGAATTAAAAAATGAGGACCCAGAGCTGCCTGTACATGATGCGGCCCCCTGGGTGACCCTATTGAACAAAAGCATGGAGTGGAGACAGTCCCCTTGTTTCAAATAGATATTGGGGGGGTCTGTGAGTAAATATATGCTCGAGAGTTCTAGGATCCATATGGATCTACCTATCGTCTAGAAAACAAGACAATGATAGGTTTGTGTTTAGCCCCCTGGGTTGTACACAATCTAATGTGTAAATCCAGAAGGATTCTCTACGGAGGAGGTGTTTGGCCCTATCTCCTCCCCTGGGATGCTGGTGTACCTGCTCAATTATCATGCCTTTTAGTTCATGCGTCTGATGGTGCATTTTTGCAAAATGTATGGCAACTGGTTTTTGAATGTCCAGTTCTTCGCCTTTTAGGTGTTTAGCAATTGTTGTCCTAATGTCGCTCCTATGCTTTTGGAACCGACGTTTAAAAGGACCAATTGTTTTGCCAACGTAACTTAGTGAGCATGGGCATGTGAGTCGGTACACACAGTATTCCGTGTCACAGGTAAAATAGCCATTGATCTTGTATTGTTTCCCTGTGTGTGGATGAGGGAAAGAGTCACCACAGATCATTGCATTGCACATATTGCAATGAAAGCATCTAAAGCATCCAATTCTATTTGATAGCACAATGGGTTTCTTAATGTACTTCGGTCTGGGATCAGCCTGAACCAGGAGATTTTTTAGTGAACTGCCCTGTCTATGGACATGTAACGGTCTATTTTTGATGGTTGAAGTCAGGGTTTTATCGGCTTGTAGGATGTTTAAGTTATTATGGGTGGCTTTTTTGATGGTGCCGCTGGCAGAATTGAATGTGTGTATAAACGCAACTCTATCGTCTATGGTGCGTTTACGTTGTGCACACACAAATTTTTCCACCGCCTTGCTCAAGGCTAGGTCGATTGTACTATTGGGATAGCCTCTTTCCACAAATCGATTGTACATGTCTTTGAGTTGTCTTGTCCGTGTGTCCGAATCTGAACAGATTCGCATAACACGGAGGAATTGTGATATGGGCAGATTGTCTTTGAGGTGAGAAGGGTGTGCACTCTCATAGTGTAAGAGTGTGTTACGGTCAGTAGGTTTCGTATAAACTGACGTTATAGCCTGATTGCTATCAATTGTAATGTTAACATCCAGAAAAGAAATCTCATGGCTAGAGATAATCGGGTTAAACACAATCCCCGGAAATAGAACATTTAGAAACATTATAAAGTCATCAAAGACAGTATTGTTACCGTTCCATTTCACAAATATATCGTCGATGAATCTAGTCCAGTTGATGACATGATTTGAAAAAAACGTTGATTTGTAGACAAAGCATTCTTCCAGATAATCGATTAATAAGTTGGCAAATGAAGGTGCCACTGAACTCCCCATTGCGGTGCCGCGAATCTGCTTGTATACCTTGATTTTGAATGACTGTTGTCATTAAAATATATTGAATCTACTTTTGGAGTGCTGGTGACATCTTTTAGGAATTTACTGGCGACAGGTAAGTTGCCAGAATCGCTTCTGTTGTAAAGCTGACAGTCGGCTTTACAAGTTTAAACAGAGTCCTGGCGGCAAAAGTCGCCGGTAGTCTGTTTAAACAGCCCCGATGCTGGCGACATACACTGTACGTCGTCAGTCACGAAGGGGTTAAAAAAGTATGTGCTGCAGCAACTATTTATAAGTCCATCTGCATTTACAGTGTTATCTCAGTCCCCCTGCAAAGCCCCACAAATACCTGTTGATACAACCAGTGAAGTCCACCTCATGCAGCTCCCTGTGATGGTGTGGCAACAGTATGTAAGGGAAGGGAAGGAAAACTGAAAGCACATTCTGACTAGTTGTTGCAGAGTTTGCTGGATAGAATTAATAGCTAACTAAAAAGGTTCTCTTATTGTTTGCAATTGGTATATGAAGGAAGTATTTGTAAAATCGATTTGTTGCTTAATAACTGCATTTTTGTAAAAAAAAATGTACTTAATATAATTAATATACAATACTAATTGTATAGCATCTAGTCCCATTTTAAATAAATAAAATTATTATTAAAAAAATAATTATTAATATTGCTCACAAAATCCCTTATTCTACTAGAAAATTAGTCATGAATATCACATTTGAAAAACACAATACACAGTGGAAATTTCATTATATGGACTTATGTGGACATTTTTATATTAGGATGTGTGTGTGTTCTATAGGTCATCTGTCTCCCTGGGTCGGATTCAACCTAGGGACGCTCCAGCAGAGCGTACTTGGGTTGAGTCGGGGCCAGCGGTAAAACCGTCAGTATGAAAACCTTCTTTTGGGCTTGGAGACGTGTTCGCAGTGTGTGTATGTGTTTGCCGGTTTGTGAGCATTAAGTGCAATGCGCTGGGCTTATTGCCGGCGAACGCCAATGCGCATTAGCGAAGCGGAGTCCGCATAACGAGAGATGCATATTATATTTCTATTGCGGCTGCGCTGTCTTTTTTGGATACATATCTGCTTTTATGAGAAGACATTGATTTATGCCTTGCTGGTTTACTGGTACCGTACATTGGCAATAGCATTAGCAATGTCTCCGCAGATAGTCTCAAATCTTTAAGAACAAATAGAATTATCTTAATAGATACTGTTTATTTTGAGCAGTATTAAATGGGGTTCATGCTGGCTAAGATGTTGGATGTGCATACACGTGGCTGATCGGGGCAATGAACATGACTGAGCACATCATAGTCTAATGGTGCGAATTTCCCCACGCGTGGTTCCTTTGTTTAACAAGGATGCGTGCACCAGTATTAGTGAGTCATGCACATTTCTCTGCGCATCCACGTTGGTGCACTCCCCTTTTCTTTTGTAACTGTACTTTTTGGGCTGATTGGCTGATGTTGTAAAGCCATCTCCCTCTCGGGCGTTATCCCTTTGTTGCCCTATAAATAAATGGAGCTCCTGTGCTAGTCAGGACTTGCAATACTGAGACTCCAACTTGAATCAGCGTCTTGCCTGACTCTGTTTGGCACTACTGAAGTACTTAATTTCCTTATACGAAAGAGCTGAATGCAAAGTGCTTTTAAGCGCGTCGTAATTGGTTGCGCTTTGCACGCGTTGATATCCAGCGGAAGCGGAAATTTGTGCGCACAGCACAAGGGAATTTCCATAACAATATTAGGTTTATAAATTTACACAGAAAAAGAAAATGACACATCAGATATCATCTTACCAAATAATTTTCAGTTCTCATTCACAGGTTCTAATTTACTGAAATGTTGATTTCTGGTCCTTTTTCTTGGTACTTCAGCTCAGACTAGAATGAAACAGAAGAGGCATTTTGTTAATACTGACATACACATACCGCTAAAAACTGACACATAAAAAAATGATGTCACACATCATCCCTTTCAAAAACTCACTTGCATGTTTTCAGAGTTTCCAAAGATAAACCTAAAGTAAAGTTAAATCATACATAAGATGTATTATTGTATGACCTATATTTCCTTTGTTTAAATTAAATTTTCTATGATCAGTTATTTTTATAAGGAATCAATCCTTTTAGCTTGCATATGTCAGGAAACTTTTGTCCCCATTTTTCTACCTGTTGGTAGCCCTGTACCCCTGCATTTTAATATCTAATAGTAGATAACTCTAGACAGTTTAACCCCTTCGTGATGGGAGATGTACACTGAACGTCCCGCCACAAAGTGCTTAAATGACTGGCCAAGTACACTGTACGTGACCAGTTATTTGCGGCTCTGCAAGGCTGGTAACTGGAGAATCAGCGGTTACCATTCATTAATGGATGCCTCAGTATAGAGGCATCCATTAATGAAAGAGTTAACCTTTTTCAGACACCCAATCCCCTTTAGGAATCAAGTGTCTGAGAGTGAGAACAGAGCTGCATTTGCTGCTCTTGCCCTCACTCTGACAGCTGGTATACACTGAGTGGCCAGTTTATTATGACCACCTGACATTTGTAGGCAAATTAGCTATAATTAGCTATAATTTCGCGCTGAAGTTGCTAGAGGGCCAGACCATTATAAATAGGGAAGCAGGTTGTTTACCACAACAGTAGAAGTGATTTCTTTCTGAAGATATGGGTAAACAACGCGATTTAACAGCCTTTGAACGTGGGATGATTGTTGGCGCGAGCCATGGAGTGAGTATCAGCAAAACAGCCGAAAATCTGGGTCTGAACGTGTGAATTGTGGCCGTCAGTGACTAGTCAATGTTAGTGCAGAACGGAGAGTGGCAAGGCTGGTACAAGACAACAGAAGGGCAACAGTGCAGTGTCAGATTCCTTGCACCACCTTTCAACATCTCGTGGAGTCACGAGGTGGCCCAACGAAGTCATCTCGTGGAGTTATCTCGTGGCCCAACGAAGTACTGATGGGGTGGTCATAATAATCTGGCCACTCAGTGTAGATCGGAAATCCCGATGTATACCGGCTTTTTTTTTTTACTTTCAGCAATAGAAACATAATGTTTCTATTCTTGAAAGAATGTTGCAGTTTTCTGATCGTTGTTGGAACGATCAGAAAACCTTTAGTGACAGATGATCCTGAAATGCTGCAGATATTTTTAGATATCAGATATGCAAATATTTTTTTATTGGGTGTTCTTAAGTTTGAAGCAGCCTAATAATAACCAAAAATGAATTAATTAATCAAGCAGTAATAGTGAGATTAATTCACAATGACTGCTTGATATAATTAAATAAAAATTTTAAAAAATAAAAAAATAGTGAAAGTGTAAAAAATTAAAAAAAGAAAGTGTAAAAATATAAAAATCAATGTAACAAATAAAAATATTTTAAAATATATTTTATACAATCATGTTTATAAAAATTAACCCTTTACAATGAAAATCTGCAGCTGAGCTGCAGATTTGTTTTTCACCCTAAGGGGTTAATTTTTCTTTTTTTAACCCCCTCATGACAGTGATGTTCAAAGTATGACGCTGTCACTAAGTGTGACACTTAGTGACAGTGACATTGTATGCCAGGTGACCACTTTTAGCTTTAGGAGAAAAAAGATTAAAATGTTAGGTTTTAATTTTAGGCCGAGAAGTACAGAAAAAATTCTAAAATCATGGGGGTGTGAGGTTTTTCCAAATAAAAGACAAATAAATGAATGTATTTATTGCATTTTTTTTAAGCTGTGCTGGTTTTGTAAAAAGTACTACAAATCAAAACTGGGGCAAAAGTATTTTCTTTAAGTTCTTTCCTCTTTTTTATATTTTATTTGCCCTAAGCGAGGCATTAGACACACATTTGTGATATAAACGTACAGCTCTATCTGTCCACTAAAAAACAATATATAATATGTGTGGGTGCACTTTGTAAGAAAGTATATTACTGACGTGGAAGAACCACACAGCAAAAATGTCAAACGCGCTTCAGTCATTTATGAACAGAAACTAAAAACAAGCTCAGTCATGAAGGGGTAAAGATTTGGTAGCACTGCTATGGAATACTGTTATTGAGTGATCAGTCATGCCCCTAGTCTTTTGCCTGTTACCTGGTTATTCCTATATGTGCTTTATTAGCTTTGTAAATATACCATTTATAGCTTGATTTTGTACTGTGTTTGTTCACTGTTGTTTATATTAGGCCACCCATAAAGATTTATATTAGAATAAAAATACTTCAGTATTTATATATAAAAAATAGCCCAATACAAAACCTTGTAGAACAAACAAAAGAAAAGATTTTGACAGTCCACTCCTTGTGAAAGTCCCCAACACTTTTGAATGGCCTTTTCCTGACAATCCTCTCCAGGCTGCGGTCATCCCTGCTGCTTGTGCACCTTTTTCTTCCACACTTTTCCCTTCCACATAAACTTTCTATTAATGTGCTTTGATACAGCACTTTACATTATTTTTATTTTTAGAGGTCCACCGAAATAGAAATTTAAAAACCGAAACAAAACCAAAATAAATTGTTTTTTTAATTTTTTGAAATTTTTGAAATATTTTATTTATTTTTTATAAACTTTTTAATAGGGATGCACCGATACCACTTTTTTAAGGCCGAGTACCGATACTTTTTTTCAAGTACTCGCCGATACCAATTACCGATACTTTTTCAATATAACTACAACCATGAATGAACAGGAGGTGATTTAGTTCACTTCCTATTCATTCATAATTGAGGATATAGTAACCATACTCTTTCCTCAATTATCTACAAACACTCAGCGATCACTGATCGCTGAGTGTTTGTACTCGCTCTCCTCTCTGACACGCTGTCACAGAAGGCTGAGCGAGTGGAGCAGGGAGGAAAGCTCAGCCTCCTGTGACATCGCGGGCTGTCTCCATCCACACACCGCTCTGCCAGACTGTGATAGGAGGCTGAGCAGTGTGGGAGGAGAGACGCCGACTGCTCACAGAGCTCTCCTCCCACAGCGCTCAGCCAGCTGTCAGTTTCTCTCCTCCTTGCTGGGACACAGCTTATTATAATATAAAGGTCATAAGTCACATGATCTTTGTTTTTGTGACGATTTTTGTGAACTATTCAGAAACCTGCATCTCCGGAACCGCTGAAGCTGCAGATGTACAACTCGCTTTGTGAGCTTATGGTATGCTCTGTTGCCACATGTGTTCATTATAGCTCTATTGGTCACATGGTTTGGCACCCATTTTGGATTGTGCAATATTCTGTCAACAACTTAAACTCTGAAACCATATATCAGAATAACTCAAAACTTTGCACATACAGGGGAAACTCGAATAATTAGAATATCGTGCAAAAGTTCATTTATTTCACTAATGCAATTTAAAAGGTGAAACTAATATATGAGATACCGGTAGACTCATTACATGCAAAGCAAGATACTTCAAGCCGTGATTTGACCCAAATACAATATGGCTTCCAGAGGTCAACAAGGTCGGTGGCCATTTTGAATTAATTTTTTTATAATTCATAAAATCATGTCTTTTTTTTTTTCTTTCAAACTACAATATCTTCTCATGTGCCATGACCGGCTCTACTGCTTGGCCACCTTTATTGCTGCTTGCAGCTATATTTATTATTATTTTTATTATTATTATTGTTATTATTTCGCCGCTTTTTCAAATGCCTGTAACAAGTGCTCTGTAAGTCAAAAACTCATGAAACATTGCAGCCCTGTGCTCTGCAGAGCTTATTATAATATAAAGGTCATAGGTCACATGATGTGGCAGCCATCTTGGTTTTAGTGACGATTTTTGTGACGATTTTTTTGAACTATTCAGAAACCTTCATCTCCAGAACCGCTAAAGCTACAGATGTACAACTTGCTTTGTGAGCTTATGCTTTGCTCTGTTGCCACATGTGCTCATTATAGCTCTATTGCTGATCTGTTTTTTCATAACCGCTAAGGCTACAGATATACAAATTAATATGTTAGATTATACTCATATATGTTTATCACAAGTCATGTGACCGCATGGTTTGGCAGCCATTTTGGAATGTGCCATATTCTGCAAACAACTTAAACTCTGAAACCATATATCAGAATAACTCCAAACTTTGCACATATGTCCAGGGCGACCTCTTCTGCCATGGTTGTAGAAACTGGCCCGACCCCACAATCAAAATGGCCACTGCAAGCAAATCATGTTTAGATAGTGTAATTATTTTTATGGCCTTTTTTTCAAAAGCCTCTAATTGGCACACTGTTACTCATAAACTGATGCAACTTGGCCCAATGGTAGACCTCTGTGCTATGCCTAATCCTCTGCAACATAAAGGTCATAGGTCACATTGCCTGGCAGCCATCTTGTTTTAGTTAATTATATTCAGCTGCATATTCAAACATCTATTTCTCAGGAACTACTAAAGCTACAGGTCTACAAATTGCTGCTTGAAGTTATGGTGAGCTCTATACTCATAACTGATCATTACAAGTCAATCGGTCACATGGTTCGGCGGCCATATTGAATTGTGTCAAATTTGACAAATATTTCTATCATTTTGATGCTCTTTTTTTCAAATGCGAATTATTGCCACACCGTTATGTAAAAACTCATGAAATTTGGCCCAATGGTAGAGAACAGTGATGTGTTCAAAACTTGGAAACATAAAGGTCATAGGTCACATGCTCTGGCGGCCATCTTGGTTTAAGCAAACCAATTTCTGACAATTTTCAAACATCTGTTTTTTCATAACCGCTAAGGCTACAGATATACAAATTAATACGTGAGATTATGCTGAGTTCTGCAATCATATATGTTTATTACAAGTCATATTACCGCATGGTTTGGCAGCCATTTTGGATGGTGCATTATTCTGCAAACAACTTAAATTCTGAAACCATTTTACAGAATAAC